AAGCTACTCAGCTGTTTCAATCAACTTCCAGCCATTGCCCTTGGCCAGCCCCAGGTGAAGTTGACGTCGGTAGAGGGTCTCAAGGAACGGCTGCGAGGCCAAGGCCAGAGGCGTCACGTTGAAGCGGAGCAGTAGCTTATGGAGCTCGGCCTCTTGTGTGGCAGGGAGGCAGCAGGTGGCCTGCAAAAGCCAAGTGAATCACTTTTCAGTTCAAAGTAGACAAGCAAACTATAGCAGTAGAGTACGTTTTGTAAGTAGATGCAATTAGTAGACTAGACTATAAATACATAGTGTAAACATGTAGACTTTGCCAACATCAAAACAACCGATTCCAACCCTTTGCTGTTGCAAATGTCGCTTGGATCGGTTTGTTGGACCTCCAAACTCCGTGCCTCCTCCAAGATGCAAAAGGTGGGCCGGTGGTAAAGCACACGCGCCAGCCCAAGCCGTTGCTGCTCTTCACGGGTGAGAAGCTCTGGCCATGATCGGCGGGCAAACCATCCATCTGCCTCTCGCGTCAAAATGTGGTCCAAGCCAACCGCATGGAGACATTCACGCATGCGGCCCAGTTGTGGAACAGCTTCTCCGGGACTTGCAGTCTTCTCCACCGCAATCTCACACTGGAGTTCGATCTCATCAATGATTCTATCCTGGGGCCTGGCAACTGCTTTGATGGTCTCTTCAAAGGTACTAAAATGGATCAATACCTTGCGAAAGCCTTTCTGCACTTCTTTTCCATCTCTTCCACTCTCCACCGTCTGGCAGTGTGCAGCGCCCAGCTGTGCAAAGTGCCGACGAAGCTGGCTCTCGGAGATCTTCTCCGGCACCGTGACATGCACCATGAAGGGCCCATGAGACGGCAGTCGAAGAAGCAACGGGTAGGCCAGCTGGGCCAAAAGCCGACAATAGGCTGGCACGTAAGGCTCTTGCATCACCAGGACCATGGTTTCCAATGGAAGCCTAGTGGATGAACGCTCAGTGTCGACACCCAGCAGCAGCTGGAGCAAAGGCTTGGAGAAGCCCTTGGGACCACAAATGAGCAAAGGTTGGTTGACCGCTAGTTCAAATCGCAGCTTCCGAGCGAGTCGCACACCATCTTCGCTCACCAGCCCTTCTTTTGCGAACTGAAAGACATCACCGGCAGTGTGATCTGAGATCTGCAAGGGCAAAGGCTTTCTGCTTGCAACCTCTACGGCCACCACTAGCTCTAGGCAGCGCAAACACTGGGAATCGAGGCGACCCACCTTTTCAGCACACTTGGCGAGCTGCTGCGTGGCAATAAAGGCCGCTTGCATCATCCGGTCGAAAAGCACCGTCTCACTGAGTAGCTCTGCTGCCTCCAGCGTCTCGCTGAAAGGTGACGAGAACTTCAGAGACAGAAAGCGAAGCACCCAGGAGGGTACTTGCCGAAAGTCAGTGAGTGCTGTGATGGCCAGCTGATGGAGGAAGTCCAAGCCCCTCATCTCCATCCCAGTAGACATCAGCATCTCGAACTGTTCTGAAAGCTTTTGCTGCTCAGCGATTCCTCTACAGCACAGTGCCGAAGCCTCTGCTTGTGCTCGCAATCGCTTGTGCTGGGCCTCCCAAGTCGCCGTGTGAAAGCTGTCTGACCCTAGTCAAACACAAAAGACGGACCTGCAGGCCTTTTAACTTTGCACCTGCTCGGATCTTTGAAAGGAATATTGATTTTGAAAAGGCATTTCACAGACTGTAATCAGAATGGGCCGGTTTCCAGTGGAAGGAGGAACGACGCGGGCCTATCGCTTGAATGGTTGCCATGACGCATTTTTACACCTTGGTGCTTTGCAAACCAAACATGATTGCCAGTAGCGACCAGGATCCCGTCAAGTTCCAGGACTTTGGTTCCATCCAAGCCTGAAATTGAAGGTCCTCTCGCAGCTCTGATCTCTGAAGCAGCCTCAGCACCAGAAAATGCCCCAGAAAAAGAAACGACCATGTGCCCAAACTTCTCACCAGGAATGGCGCCACAAAGACCAGCTGTGCTGTGGCCAAGAGGGCTTCACAGCCATTGGAGCCGAGACTTTCAAAAATACTTCGAATCTCTGCCAGCCGCTGCATGGGCTCAGAGACCTCTTCTTCTACCCGCAAAAGCGTAAGCTCGCGCATCAGCTTTCGCTGTAGATGGCTCACAGCACCGCTCCAAAGCTCCAACGTCGCCAGCTTTGCTTGGTATCTCAGGACCTGACACATACAGCTACATCATGCCACATCCAGGTCGTGGGCCACATCCAACCCATGCAGCCTATGGACCTAATCTGTCAACATCCTTCAACAAGTATTTTCATGAGTTCATGTCAATTCTTGTTGATTCTCATTTGATACCTGTCAGCGATCTTCCAATCCAATGAGCCACCTGAAAAAAGGGCACAAAGTCTATGTTGTAGGGAATTGCACCTTCTTACCTAGGTAGGACGACTTTCTGCCCATTTCTGGACCCCTGCCTGATCCGCAAAGCCACTGCCCAGCGCGACCAACGCACCAAAGAGCAGTTGCTTGGCTACAGCAGCCAGGTCTCGTGAGAGCAAGGCCTGGAGACTACCTGAGAGGTTTTGACAAAATCTCCAGTAGAGCTTGGTTCTTGCGTGTAGCAGGAGCAAAATCAGTCCTGCCTTTTGCAAGATGGTCCGGCGTCGACCAGAGGTCAACAGCCCCAATTGCAGTGTGGCCCAAAGCCGTGCGGGTGCACTACGCCAGCGCAACTCCACGGTCTCCCTCGCTTTTGGACGGCTTCGTGAAAGCGTTGAAGAGCTTGTGGCTGGCTCGATCTCCTCCGAATCGGAGTGCCGGCACTCCAAGTAGGAATCCAAACGTTGGAAGGCCTCCGCACTGCAGCGACATCGGGGCTTCATGGTGACCTCAGAGAGTTCTGAAAGCTTCCAGCCCCGGGTATCTTCTCCACGAGCCCCCTGGATCATCAACAGCCGCGAGTGTTCATTTTTCAGACTTTGGCTGGGCCGACGTGCGATCGTGATGTAGCCAATGCCTAATTCTCGCAAAAGCCGCAGGAAATGCCGCTCCAACTCCGGTCCCATTGCAGATGTGCATTCATCCAGTATGGCGAAATGAGGGCGGTGAAACAAAATTCTGGCGAAGCCAAGGGCTTGTTTCTCTCGGAGTGAAAGGCTTGTGAGCTCTGTGTCCTTGGCAAGGTGCTCCAGGCCCACATATGCAAGCCACTTATACAACTCTTCATGTGGCAGTCCAGCTGCCATGGGCCTTGGGAAGGTCACTTCGTCAGACAGAGTGGAGGCCCACCCAAGCAATGGTGTTTCAGGTACGTAGAGGAGATCCTCTGGGAAGGGAATCCCTTCGATGTGGCGCTCTGAGCCACCGGGTCTGGACACCTGACCGTTGCTGATGGGCCAAAGCCCGAAGAGACAACGTGCCAGGGCCGTCTTCCCACTGGAGGCCTGACCGCACACGAGCAACGGGGCCGAGTGTGACAAGCAAAAGCTGAGATCCCGCAACAGTGCCTGCTTGCTGGGTGTATGGATGGTTACTGATTTGAAGGACACCAGCTCTCCCTCATCGGTGAAGGTTTCGGGAGGCTCGAGCTTAGGCATGTGCTTGCGCTTGGGCTTGGGCTTGGCTACTGGAGCCTCCAATCCCTCGAGCTTGACATAGAGTTGCTTCACGCGGTTCGTCGCAGCAGTACTAGTCATGAGCAGAGTGCGGGAGGACAAAAATGCATTCCAAGCAGAACATACATTGAAAAAGTTCTGGACATTCCGCAAGTGCTGTCCAACGACAAAAGCCTTCTGCTCAAAGGATTCTCCAAACGGAGGAGTCATGTATGCAAGCACGGCAGCAAATGCAACTAGCTCAAGTAGACTTGCAGCCTGGGTGGAGTGCAAAAACATCCATTCTGTCATTTCCAGAGGAAACATCAAGTCGAAGAGCTTTCGTGCAATCGTGGACAAGTCTCGGAGGGTCTTTTGCAGCAAATCTAGCTCAAAAGCCTCCCCTTGCATCATCAAAATACTTTCTGATCGACTTTGCAATCGACTAAAATGTTGCTTCAGTCTTCCCTCAAAGTGCTGAAGCGACGCCTGCACATTTTTGGCATCTTCTGGATGAGTGCCTAAGACGATCTTCACGGCCAGCAAGAAAACGGCGGGTGGCAAGAAGCCTCCCAGCCACTTCTTTTGAAGCACTGTGAAGCCCGAGAAGACCCAGGTCTTGATCAAAGCTTCAATCAATGAGACTGCCACCTCTGATGTTGCATGTGCCATTTCATGCACATCTCGGCAGATTCGCAAGTCGGCATCAGTGATGACGTGCTCCTTGCTCTCGGATTGAAGCCGATAAAAATTCTGCTTCTGAAAATAGAATCGGTGTAGCTTCCGAGTGATGTTCTGCCTCCACTTTGTAGCAACCCGTCGCTGGAGGCAACCGGTGACGCTGATGCTTAGGCAGTGGAGGAGAACAAGGAAAGGGTATCTAAGCGCAGCCGACAGCCACTGACTTCCGCTCCGCTGCGATGTGAAGAGCACGGCGAAGAGAGATGACTTGCGCAGTAGCACCACACTCCCACCCAGCCACAACAAAGCAACGCCGACCAGTTCAGTGACGCCTGAGTCGCTGCTTCTGTTGCCAAGAAGGAGCTCAAGAGTGGAGGGCTGCCGGGTCCGGCGAGACACTGGCTCCATGTCAAATTAAAAGCGATGTCAACATCGCGCCAACTGGCTCATTTGAGCTTCATTCTTTGCATGCGCTGTACCTGGTCCTATCATTGAGTCACTTTAGCTAAGGGATGCTAAGGGCAAACCTGAGGGTATCAATCTTTTCCCACCTCCCTTAAAAGTCCAACGCAGCATTCGGTGGTTCGCCCACGAGATCTTTGTTCCTTGTGAGTGAACTGCTTTGGTGGTAGGTCTTGTGTCAAAGCCAGAGCTGATATCTCGCGGCAAGGCAAATCCTTAGGCCATGATGCCCTCTCACAAGGTCTACTGAAAATCACCGGTAAGAAATCAAATATGAAGCTATTAGTAACAAGTGCATCGCTACTAGTAACAAGTGCCTTACTAGTAGTAACAAAAAGCCATTAGTAACAAGAAGCAAGATTTGCAGAACTATATAGTTTCAGTCCCACCTCCGATTGTGCTCGTCAACGATCTGGTCAATGACCTGCGGTCTACTCAGAGTCTTCTTACCCCACGAATCTCTGTCTGTTCCATACGTCATGTCAGCTAGCTATACCATAGGCTATAGCCGAAAGCATGACCCTAATACAGCCAAAATCATGTAGAACAATTTGGGGCGCACCATCAACTTCGATCGATTCGTTCGGGAGGCTTGCACGCACCATCAAAAAATACTATTCCTTGCTAAGCAATAGTACCAAGAATCATTGGATATGATATGACCCGTGGCTTGAACCTATTTCAAGCAATAGTAGCACCAGTCAAGAAAGTCATACTGGGGAGGTCTTAAAAAGGACTAATTAGTCGAAGAGCAAGGGAGATAGGCTATGTACAAATCTTGAGGTGTCCCGAGACATTGTACCTGACCTTGCGTGAACATATATGTACCGTCAGCATCCGTCAGCCGAGTACCAAGGTTTTGATAGATGATGATAGATGGACCCTCCAGTGTAAACAAACAGTTTTTGTTTACACCCTACCTAGCTGAGCAGCTCAGGGCTTCAAGTCACAGCAAATGGGGAAGTCTTAAGACCCCAGTGCCTAAAATATAGTATTTTAATGTCTTTTCACAAATCGATGCCGATTTGATGCCTGCGCATCAAGATTGGCCGCCAGCTGTCGGAACGCCTCACCACTGGTTGGAAGACAAGAGGCCGGGATAGCTCCAACATACCGGGGATTACCAGGGTATCTTCACGGAATGGAGACTACACCTCTTTCCGTAGCATTCGTGAGTCTACCATTCAGGAGTCATCCAAGGCCAAACAACTCTCTCGCCGCATTCCCAGCTGTGGGATCATGGACAGCTCAAATGTCCTTTCTCAGTTAGAAGCACCAAACGAGTCAAAAAACGGAACAGAAAATCAGCGAAGGAACAACATCCTCCAAAAGTGTCAATGGAGGCCTCCACCTTTCGCTCCACAAGGATTTGCCCTTGCTCCTCTTCGGATACAACTTGGCTCGGTGAGTTGGGCCTGGGTGACCGGGACCCCGCGGACGCGAGGTCAGGACTGGTCGTTGAACATCGTTGGCTCGGCTTGGGGACCCGTTCCCGAAAGATCCCCGACCAACGGCCTCACTTAGTAGCGTTCGGACGCTACTAGGTAGAGTCCATCGCTATTAGGTTGGAGGCCATCGCTACGAACGGAGCAAGGACGCTACTGATCATTCTGAAAGGGCGACCCCTCAAGACTCTACTTGGATATCTTCCGTTTGGTGAGAGTCATTGTTGGTCACCTGGCTGCTTGAGGAAAAGTAACTAAGAAACATGAGAAACCTGTGTCTTCAGGCAAATTTCAAAAAGTGTTCAAACATATAAGAACCATCCACAACTATGATTACTGTCCAACAATGCCAAGTGTCTCTAAGGAGCCAAAGGGGTGAGTGAGGGCATGAGATAGGCCATTGGGCTGTCTGATGCATCTTGTGGCAGGCCAAACCGAATTGAGCTAATGCATGTTAATGCTTTCTCGACATTGCCGGCTTCACCTGAAGTAGGGATGCAGACTGAAACAACGTGTGCAAAATGAAACTCAAGTTTTCAAACCCTTTCAATTTTTTCCTACAAGGTATTGAAACCATCAGTGCCTAAAAGGTTTTCTCTGGGAAACGCTATTAATAATATAAATGTTTCGATTTTGCATGGTGACCCATTTGATTGCCACGTGCTGCAGCCCCGAATCTTGTGCTCAAGGGCAGCGACCGACCGGCTGAGAGGCTGAGACCGACTAGTATCGATACCAGAATTGCTTACACAATGCCCCGGCCCCCCGTATGCAAGCTCTAAGCTCCTGTAAAAAACAAACAAGAATCATCAAGAATCGGGCATCCACCACCCATTTATGGCTATCTGTCCATTTGCCATGCTGCCACGATCTTTCCTGAGGTCTGCTGAAAGGAATCTCCTTGCAAAACCCTCTCAGAGTTCACTCAAGTCTGAAAAAGGACACATAAGGTACTGAACATTTGCTACTGCTATGATTTGCTGTGCACGTAAAGGCTCCTGACTCCTTGCCAACAACCTGAGCAAGCTCTGTGCGACCAAAAGGAGGCCACCAAACCTTACTCAACAACACAACGCAACAGCGCCGTCCTCGCGCTTGGAGCCACAGTGGCGGCAGAAGAGAGAGTCTGCCAAGTAAATGTTGCCTTAGGAGAAGTGCATCACTCCTAGTAACAACAAACTGCTGGGTTGAAGGCCATCGCTTCTAGGCTGGAGGCCATTGCTACTAGTAACAAGAAGCTTCTGGGTTGGAGGCCATCGCCTCTAGGTTGGAGGCCATTGCTATTAGTAACAAGAAGCTACTAGGTTGGAGGCCATCGCCTCTAGGTTGGA